GGGTTTAGGGTTTCTGATTTTAGGGTTTAGGGTTACGGTATTATGGTTTAAATTCGGTATTAGGGTTCCAATTACCAATTGATTGATTATGGTTTCATTTGGGGTTTAGGGTTTCGTTTGGGGTTTAGGGTTTTTTTTGGGTTTAGGGTTTCTGATTTTAGGGTTTAGGGTTATGGTATTATGGTTTAAATTCGGTATTAGGGTTCCAATTATTAATTTAGGGATTATGGTTTCATTTGGGGTTTAGGGTTTCGTTTGGGGTTTAGGGTTTTGTTTGGGGTTTAGGGTTTCTGATTTTAGGGTTTAGGGTTTAGGGTTTAGGGTTTAGGGTTTAGGGTTTAGGGTTTAGGGTTTAGGGTTTAGGGTTTAGGGTTTAGGGTTTAGGGTTTAGGGTTTAGGGTTTAGGGTTTAGGGTTTAGGGTTTAGGGTTTAGGGTTTAGGGTTTAGGGTTTAGGGTTTAGGGTTTAGGGTTTAGGGTCAAGTTAGATGTTACGATTTACGGTTTAAAGGGTTTAGAATTTCTATATGTAGATGAGTCAGTCACGTTCCGGGAGTAGATCGGGTAGCGGAGTCCGATCTCGCGGACGAGGATTCGGTGTTTCTAGTCCTTCTACCCTTACTTCTCAGCAGCCCCCAATACCCACACCTCGTTTGGATCAGCCTTTCACGGGTCAATCCACACAGCAACCTTCACATGAAGGTTGTTCGCGTGATTCATCAGTATCACTCCGAGAAATCCTCGCATCCGAGGATCGTCGTACGACGAGACCGCACCTTAGCCCAGAGCTAACCAACGGTACTTTATGGTAAGGAACATTGTAACAATTCATTTCTAAATTTTATATTAACGTTTACAGTTATATAACTAAGTATATTTATATACTCGCATAGGTTCGGTCGTCAGTCCCAGATACGGAAGAAAATTGTAAGCATCTTCCGGAGTGATTTTCAGGGTCCTTGACTCAGTATCACTCGTGTCCCTCCAGCGACTCTGGAGCGTTGGTTTTGTGCATTTA